AAAATGCTTTGTTTATATAAGTGTTTCTTTGAAAGAAAGAGAAAGCTTTGACCTAAAAAACTTCACTGAATTTGTTTGAAACCTAGCAAAAGCCTTGGATGCTTTATGGCAATGTTTATAACTTGGAAAAATGGTGCAATACGAAGAAGAAAAGGAACTAACATTGCAAAAAATTATGTTAGAAATTCAAAAAGTCTTAATAATCACAGAAAGAATTGAAAAGAGACTTGAAATTATAGAAATACAGAAAGTACGGAGGGAAGAGTTGAGAATACTTATAAAACGATGAAATTTGAGGACAGAGTTCAAAAAATTACAGAGACATATAAAAGTGATAAGAAAATTGTTGACACTGACAGCAAATCAAGTGCAGAGGGAAATGATAAGTGCAAAATATGGAAAGGAGAGATAGATGAACTGGAACTCTATCTTAGATGTCAAAACATAGATGAAGAAAATTTGGCAGAAACAATGAGTGTAATTTTGTCAGAAGCACCAGTGATAACAAAAGTCAAGCTGTTGAAAGGAACAGATGAAGGGGTTTAAATCCTTATAAGATACCCAATGACCAACAAGTTTTCAAGAGAAGTTCACATAAGACTTATCAAGAAAACACTTAGAATACAGATTCTACAAATGGCAATACATATTGGACTGCACTATTTCTGGAAGGATACAGGATAATTAAATGAAATGTCACAATAAAATTTAGCTAAATGTAATTAAACTTTGAGTACTATGTATAAGATAAAGTAATAATAGCTATAGTCAAATAAATGATCAATAATGATAATAAAGCATGTATATATACTAGATTGATAGTATGAAATTTTATATAAACTGTAAGTGAGGATGATGGAGATGATGTTGAAAGCCCTTTCTATAAAATATAAATAATTCTATATAGAATAGAATATAAAGATGTAATATCATTGGATGATTTCAGGATGATGTAATGAAACAATATAATATAAACTTACTTCAAATTTAATATGCCTCATATAATAAGGATGTAATAATAGCTATTCTTAGTGGATGTTTAATAATTATAACAATTTGTATACATGCATATTAGATTGATGATACTAATAATGGAAAAAACATGGAATTGAAAATTATTAGAGAATGTTATTAATGCTAAAGTAATAGAATGATTTAGAATAGGATACAAAAAATATTTATTATTGGATATATTGAAGATGATATAATGAATCATTATACTATAAATGGATACATACTTAGAATACCTTGTTTAAAATGGAGAAACAGTAGTGATAATTAAACAAATGAAGTATAATAATGTATACAATGATATTTGATTAACAATATGTGATTTTTGGTAAAGCTCAAGTGATGACTATGGAAAGGACTCAGAAAGATCTTGTAACCAATCGACACACTGTATGCAGTTGAAGAGGTTTTTATGTTATATGTTTTGTGTGTTTGTGATTGAAAATAAAAAATTTATTTAAAAAAAGAAATAATAATTCATTAGAGTCAGTTTTGTGAAGTGAGGGAATTTGAAGTTAAACCTCTCATAAGTGCTGAAGATTACAAAAAAGTATTCCCACATATCAACACTTTTACAATAAGCCAAATAAATAGTATTGTGTTTCTCCAAAAATAAGACAGGGTCTTATTTTCTTTTAATCCCTTGAAATAAATGCTTGGCTTATTTTCGGGGAGGTCTTATTATTTTTGAGGTGCAGGAGACGGCAAGTGTGGTCACCTCATGGATGCTGCTGTGTTGCAATATTTTTGAGAAGGTCTTATTTTCAGGGGAGGGCTTATCTTAGTGCATGCGCTCAAAAGCCCAATTGGGCATATTATCTGGGGAGGTCTTATTTTCAGAGAAACGATAATAGTAAAAAATAATGTAAAATTTCAGTTAGTAGTTAATAGTATAAATTACAATTGATTTATAATAAAAATATTTTATTGTAAACACTAAGCTGAGTTATTTCAGTTCTGACATGTTCCTTCAAAAGAATAAAATACATATTTCAGAATGTGTTACTGTGCTTACTCTTTTATAGAACCTTGATTATTATTTCCACTAGTTAGCAAGTTTGTTTTTCCATTAGTTATTAACATCAAATTTTAGACCTCTGCCTATTATTTGATGCTTACATTGAAAAAGATGAATCTTACTCAATTTTGTCCATAGTAATATTCAGTACCTCTTGAAGTACTGCTCTTGAAGTACTGCAGCAAGATTCTTTTCAGGTTTCATTGGCAGTCTCAAGAACTCAGTTAGCTATCTTTAGTATTCAAAACATGAACTCTATCAATAAGAAGAGATGCCCATCTCCATTCCAATCCCAATTCAGTTTCAAGGAAGATTTGAAAGGGCCAAGATGCAGAGAGAACAATACTCCTGTTTTTAATTTCCAATACAAATTTGAGATTATTAAGGAAATCCCACAGAAATGTTCTACCTAATTTTTTCATTGGCCACTGAGGGACTATAATCAGAAAAATAAGACATTTGTTTTTTTAATGGTTGTATCAGTGTGAAGAAACAGTGGAAATAATTGTAGCTGCAATTATCTCCATTGACATGTTTAAATATATAATATTGTCCAGAGAAAAAGACAATGATGCTTTCAATGGATTTAAATAAGAGACAGAATTATCTTTATTTCTAGTTTTCCAAAGGTTAATGAACCACAAGCGTCAGCCTCTTCATGATCAAAGGGGAAGGATGCTGGTTCTGAAATTCAGCAAGATGAGGCTTTTGTCTTCCCCAGTCACTGCACAAGTTGTAATTTAATTGAGTGAAAGAATATCATAACCAGATTCCCAAAGCACAATTCAGGAAGAGAATGAAAGCAGTAAGCCTTTTCTTCTCTTTCCTCATCCTAGCTGAAACAGTACTGGTAGGAGGGACACAGCAGCACATGTGAGAGAAGGGAGATTTGCTTGCATATTGAATCCCAAGTCTGAGACTCCCATTAGGAGCTTCCGCAAATTGTTGGGTAAAGAACAACTCCAGGCAGCCACAATGAGCCTGGTTTTGTACTGTGTATCCAACAGGAATTCTGATTAAATAGGCCCCACAACACTGTGGGATCTGTATCTTTTATATACTGTTTAAAGAACTGCAATAGTAAAGAGTGGGGAATGGCAGAATCAGGCACTTGTTGGGATCATATTGTCAAGGGCTGGATACTTTCATACTCTTGTGCATGAACAATATGCCTGAGTCCAGAGGCTTCCACAAAACCCTCCTATTGGTCTCCGATACTAATTCTACTAATTGGAGCAATTACATGAAGGACTTACTACTGGGAAGGGAAGCCATTATACTTCTTAACACACCGCAGTACATGCTGCTCTTTAATTAGAACAGTCACAGCCACTCACGTGCTCAGAATTACTAGTTGAAAAGTTCATGGAAGATGGGATCTGATTCATTGACACCAGAGACACTCTTGATGTGGCCTCAGTTTTTCAGAGACTATAGTGCATCTGCCATGCATTACCATACCAGGGGACTACATCCCAGTGTCATAAGGGAGACAAATACTTTGCTTTTTTGTGGAATTGAAACAAAATAGCCTTCATTTGATAGTAAGGTAAAGATAAAGGTTCCCTCGCACATATGTGCTAGTCATTCCCAACTCTAGGGGGCGGTGCTCATCCATTTCAAAGCCGAAGAGCCAGCACTGTCTGAAGACATCTCATGTGGCCGGCATGACTAAACTCCAAAGGCGCATGGAACACTGTTACCGTCCCACCAAAGTTGGTTCCTTTTTTTCTACTTGCATTTTTACATGTTTTCTAACTGCTAAATTGGCAGAAGCTGAAACAAGTAATGGGAGCTCATTCCATTACACAATACTAGGGATTCAAACTGCTAAACTGCCGACCTTTCTGATCGACAAGCTCAGCATCTTAATCACTGAGCCACTGTGTCCCTATCATTTGATAGTAGTACATTTTTACTCTCCAAACCATACCTACAGCTAGATTACACAGTCTGTATTATATTTAGAAATATTGTGCATTTTGCTCTGTGTAAATGCAATCATATCATGTATGATTATATGCATAACTCTCTTACAAAGTATATTTTGATTTTTAAAATATTGTACCCAGAAATTGATGAGGATGAGGATTTAATTATGCATCTATGCCATTTTATTTATTTATTTATTTATTTATTTATTTATTTATTTATTTATTTATTTATTTATTTATTTATTTATTTATTTATTTACTATATTTTAATTTGTCTAGTTAACTAACTGGGAAAATTATACAAAATTAGGTAAACATTTTATGGTACTATATGAAGTTCTCTAGAACTTGCTGATAGTCTCTACTGTGGCATAAGAGTGTATAATACAGTACTAACTTGTCATTATATTTTTCAAAACAAGGTCCAAAACTCAATATTAAACTCCCTGCTGCATATGTAGTAACTACTTTGTCTTTGGTGTTTTCAAATATGGAGAGTTGTCTAGATAATGCTGAGCAAAATGAATCAGTGGCTGAAGTTTATGGCAATTTTCTATGTTCCTACATATGGGAAATATGTAGTGTAGAAGTACCTTAGAACCATTGTAACATAATATGGAAATCAATGAATCCCATTACAGTAATTTAATAGAATCTTGGGCTAGAAATAGAATACACAAACAGTCTCAAAGGTGCTTTTCCAAAAGACAACTGGACTTTCTTGGGTTTTTTCCCCCCCTTGAAAACATTTTACTTTCAAGGAACATTGAAAACAAGACCTTTTCAAGGAAAAAAAAACAAGCAAGTCAAGTTGCATTTTGGAAAAGCACCTTTGGGACAATCATGACCTGGATGGATGGTTGAGAATCTCCATAAATATTCAAAAAGAGAAATAAAGCCAACAGTCTAAATAATAAGAAAAATGTGTGTCTTAGAAATTTCTAAGCTATGGCTCAAAGACTGCTGTTCTTTGGAATATGATTCCCTTCATTTGATCTTTGTTTCCCTTTTTTTCTTTTGTTCTTATTCAACATCAGACAACAGATGACCTCGTTTCTTCAGCAGAATGTTCTAACGATGATGAAGATTTCATTGAATGCGAGCAGAGTGTAGGTAAGCCAGGTCAGTCTTCTTTTTTGGCTTGCTTTTTACAACTGATAATGCCAATACATATATGTGGGTCTGAATGTATACATATATATGTATGCTCATATATGTATACGTGACATATGTATATATGGATAGAAATGTGTAATAAATTATCACTGTTTAAAGCCAAGCATCCAATCCCATGGAACTGGCAGGAGCAAAACATGAATGGGCCATATCATGTTGGAAAGCCAACTTTGAAAAACCAGTGCCTGTTCAGTTTATTGTAAACCATTGTGCTATGAATTTGTAATGGTTTTTGAACTGGCTCTGGTGGGGGAGAAAGGAAGCAGATTGAAGATTTTTTTCATAAAACAATAATAAAAGTCTAACTATTAATTAACAAAAGAAGTAGATAGGGGGCAAAAGAGGTAAAACCATGGCTGTTTTTACATCTTTCTGACAGATATGAAAACATGCCTCAAAAGTTCTATTTGTCCATGGGATTTTAAAAGCAGTTAACATGGCAATGTATTTTTTTTGCTAATACTGTACTTTGTTTATTTAACTAGTCTGAGGAGATTTAAACCACAGTGTATCTGCAACAATTATTACTCTCTGCCATGCTATCTGCAGCAATGATGCTTCAAAATGTATCCACTAAAATGCCAAAACTGATTAGAAAATTTTGAAATGGGCTCAAATTTTCCCTTTGAGCATAGATACATTTTGATAATTTTATGGCTTTGAAAAAGGGAGGAATAGATATGACTGTACAATATCCAGCAGGCAACTGCAATCTACTTTATTTAAAAAAAATGTTTCAAGCTTTTATTTAAGTTTCATTTATTTTTTAGGCTTGTTCTGAATTAAAATAGTTATCTAATAGAGAACAGAATTTCATCCAATTTTTGTGTGTGTTGTAAAAAGTTTTCTGCAAATCTGTCCTTAAACCACAAAGCACAAAAAAGTCTTCTTTCTTTTCTTTTCTTTTGCTTTTGTTAGAAACAAACAAAAAAGAAGGGGTGGAGTGGATAGGTTATTATATTATTTTGAAAAGCTTTATGTTTGCTAAAAATCAAACTTCAGGTGGTTATGTTCATTGTTTCCTGAAGCATTTCAGTTCAATACAGTAATAGTAATAGAAATCATCCAAAGCTAGCGCTTTCACATTTCTCTTCCACTACTCATATTCTGCTTGCATTTTGGGGTAAGACTTGCTCTGACAGTAGTAAAGACCATTGTGGCTTTGCATGTAGCTAGGAAGTTCCACAAAAAGGCTAGAGAGCCAGTTTGGTTTAGTGGTTAAGACATTTGACTAAAAAATGGAAGACTGTGTGCTCCCGCTGTAGGCATGAAAACCAGCTGGGTCATTTTGGGCCAGACACTTTCTCTCGAGACAAATCACCACACAGAATTGTTGTTGAGAGAAAAATTGAAGGAGTATTAGCAATAGCACTTAGGCTTATACAATGCTCTATAGTGCTTTACAGCATTCTCTGAGCAGTTCACAATGTCAGCATTGTCCCCAAACAATCTGAGTCTGATTTTATCAACCTCAGAATGATAGAATCTTGAACTAGTCGAACTCCTGGCAGTGAGCAGAGTTAATTTGAAACACTGCATTCTAACCACTGCACCACCACAGCTCCTTTGATATATTTGCTGCCTTGAATTATTTATAAACATAATAAAGATGGGAAATGAATGAATCAATGAATGGATGGTGTTAAGCAACACAGATTTAACATTTAACATTGGCATTCATGTTGACATACAATTCAGTACAAACTGATTATATTATTTGAAATATGCTCATGAAGATTTTATGGAATCCTCATTGCACTGATGATATTACCCTGTCAAGTAATGAAACACCTGCAAGCTCAGAAAGTACCAAAGACTCCACAATTTAACAGTGAGTTACATATATGCTCTTCTATTGGGTTTTGACCAATTTAAGCATCAATATTCTTGCATTAACAGCTGCTTTGCTGTGTTGCATAACTGGGAGTTCAAGATGCTCTTTTCCTAACATTCCTCTTTTTTTCATGGCCATGTTCTGCTGGAATATAGTCTGGCGTTTATGAAAAGAAAGTCATAAGTCTTAAACAAAGTGGTGATTTATAAACCTCATGTGGTAGGGATTTGTGAGTTTTGTGAGCTCCTTCCTTAGGGCTGTGCTAGAGAATTTCTCCTATAGACAAAGTTCTTTGACCTTCTTTCTTGTGACTGATCATGTTTTTCAGCTTTTCTTGGCACTCCTATTGTAACTTCATCCATCACAGATGGATATGCTGCACAGATATGCAGTCTGCAAGAAAAGAAAAATAAGGATGGCTATTTAAAAATGGATCTGAATCTCTTATATCTCTTATACCAGATCCAAACTTGGTCTTTTGTTTAGTCTTCAACAAGATACAGTTAGATTGTGAGTTTTATGTAGAAAGAGCTGAAATATATATTTGAACCCCACTGCTAATTTTTATGAGTCTGTTAAACTTTTTTCTTTTTCTCTAATTTGTCCTACATTTGCACTTAAACTAGAATCCTTTTTCACCCTTTATCAGTCTGTTCCTCTTAGCCATCACCTGAAGACGTCTTGTGAAGGCAGTATCATTACTTCTTCCATGGTGATGCATTGCCGTCTTTAGGACCTTGAGACGTGGCATCAGTGAATGAATCAAGTTACGACAAATGTAGGAAGTGCCTGTTCATCCATAAAGAAACATAGTTTAGAAACATAGAGTCCTACCATAAAAGTACTGAGAGAAAAAGAACTTCAAATTACATTATAATGGTCACTAAATTATGCTTTGGTCATTGTCCCCTGGTTGATAAAACTTCTAGAAGCTTCTGTTTTAAACCTTTTAAAATTCTCAACACATTCCCATTTTTTTTTAGTTTTAAAATAAATGCTTCCAGCTTGTTTCAGACACAGATATCTTTTCAGTGCTACTCCTCTTGTTGATAGGATGTGTTAGAAAATTTGAATCATATGGAATATTTTCAGCTTTATGGCTATATGTACACTGGATGTTAAGTCCGGCATCACAAAGGAATCTAAATGTTCAAGTGTGCATGAACATGTATGCATTTATTAATATGCGCAAACAAGCATTGCATGCACATACAAATGAAGGTTCTCTTTAAAAGAATCTTAAAGTAGCAATCATTGCTATTATATCTCTGCTTTGATTGATCAAATTGAAGTTGCTGCTCATTATCTGAAATGTACTATTTCTGGAAGACCCAGCATATCATCTGCTAATTTTCTTCCAAGAATTAGGAGAATTCTGTGACCTCCAGGCTTCCAGGAAAAAGTTATTTTTTAAAAAAAGTATTCTTCTTCCAAGTTCTTGGCAAGGTGTAGTGATTAGGATGGTATAGAATTACAAATTGATGGCTTGATTCAAAGGACTTTTGATCAACTTATTTGTTCTGGCATTAAATCTGTTAACATAATATTCAAAGCATTGAATGAGTTCCCTGCAAATTACTTTTTTAATTTATTAATTTAACTTAATTTTTAATTCATATATTCAACATGCCAATTCCAAAAATCTATGCCAGAATTTTTAAGGTTGGATGATATAATTTCTATGTTAGTTATCATATTCTCTGCATGTTTTCTGGACAATTTGGAGGCTGCTAGGTTTCATCCTAGCACAGAATACTTCAAAAATGTATTAAGATTAAACCACTGAAGTTAACTGGCTTAAATTTTACTGGAAAAAAGTATTGTAAAAGATCCATCATTTTAGCTATTTTCATCCAGAATCAGTTGAAAATATTTTACTGCATTATAACTAATGATTTGATTTTTTTTTTTCAAACTGCTTGGAATTGAATCTTGTTGCTTTCCAATTTCAATTTCAATTTGAATTACATCACATACATAAAATGTTAATATAAATCCGATCTTGGATTAATTATGTAATCCTTAGTAATCCCACTCAGTGAGGAATCCAAGAAACTGATCTTCATAAATCTGTGTATACTTTGTCAGGTTAACTAGATCCCTTTCTCTTTCCTACTTTCCTACTTTCTTCCCACTGGGGGGAAATTGTTCATGTATCAATAATTGATACATGTACATAACATCTAAGTTATGTACTTTCTTCATCGAAAAACTTAATAAAGTTAAGATACATATAAATTGAATGAATGAATGAATGAGATAATATATTCAAGAAACCCAAAAGTTTTTTTCTTGATAAGAATTTGCATATACTAATATTCTGTAGCAATAAAAAGATAGCATGTAAAAAAATATGACAATTTAGAACCTGAGCAGCTGTTTCTTTGGTTACAAAGGTTAACTCTTGCTGAAGCACTTGCATGAAATGGTAATTATTTTGATAAGGGTGCTAGTGTGTGTTTCTCAATTATTCTTGGTTATAGGTGCAACTGTACCACTAGACAAACAGATGGAGATAGCCAGAGAAGCCCATGCCCTGCTCTTCCTTCAGTCCCTAGCCATTCTCATTTCATGTTCCCCACACTAATGGCATTACAAGTGTCAGACAAACTGCCCTGCACACCTAAACTAGCTGTATTCATTAGCATCAGGCTACTAAGTGGCATTTTCAAGGTTGAAATATGATTCATCTGCCAGTCCAGTCAGCTTCTGTACATGGAATGGAATACAAACTGCAAGAATACTTGGCTTAGCTTCTTGGCACTTTTTTCTAACCAAATAACATTCACACATCCCACCTGTCACTTGATTAGCATCATCAACAGACTTAGTTATCTAGCTGGTCAGAGGAACAAGCCAAATAACTCATAAAATAAAAAAGCATGACTATTTAGTGAGGAGAAATCAAGTGAGAACCAATGAGCAGCACACACTAGCATTCATACTTGATCTCATTAAATTCTGCTAGTGCAAAGGTTACCTCTGTGTTAAAGGGACATTAAGCTGACCTGTGTAAAGGCTAAAAATAATTAATATTGAGCTTCATCTAGAAGATTTTTGGTCAAGAACAGCAAATTGAAACAATTAAGATGAGGGAGAAAAATACCAATCA